TTCAGTCGTAGAGAAAGTCGGCGGTGGTGGTAAAGTTGCAAAAAGATTGGACGACGTTGGCCTGAACAGCGGAGAGGTGATGGCGCTGCTGGAAAAATTTGCAGAAAAATTGGAGAGGGAAGCTTGAGACGTCGTCATGGCTGGAGTGGGAAGTGAAGTTACCGGCGCCGTGATGTAGTCGGTTGTGACGGAAGATCCGACGGGGGTTGAACCCACTGCTGCGGCCGAGGTCATGGGAATAGTCATGAGGCGGCCGAAAAATTTTAGAGGGAGAAGAAGAAAATTAGGTTAGGCTCTTGATACCATGTGAGAATAATGAGAAAGCCGTGCTCCAATAGGAGCCCTGGCAGATATATTTATAGTAAAATATCAGTTGCCAAAATACAAAATTATTCCTAATTAATACTCCGTATAATCTATTACCGGGTACCCGATCGGTCTCGAATCTGGTCCCGGGCTGGTTCGGCCGTTTTTTTAATTTAATATATTAGTAATTTAAATGAAAAATGTTACACATAAAAAATAAAATGTAAATTTATTCGAAACATTACATTAACTTAGACATTTGCAAATTACAACTGAGAACAGTTACATATATTTCTTATTCATCGTGACTTCCGCTTGCATCAACTCTTGTCATTTCCTCTATGAAATGATGGGGCGATGCTATGTTAACTTCTTGAGTTCTATGGAGGACCTTCAACCAATCATTGAACCAAATGAGCGTCTCGAGAGATTGCACGTTTAACCTCATTCTATAATCGATTAGGGTGTTGATGGGTTCACAAAACTCTTGTTCAATGACCACTATTGAAATCCGCATTGACATCATTGCTTTTGCCATTTTTATAAAATGGGTAGATTCCTTGTTTTCCTTCCATCATTGGAGAATATCAAACTTTCCCCCTTCTTCATACTCAAGCTCGTTAATCAAGCTTTGTGCAACGACAGGAGTAGATTTACTTTTTTCAAAAGAGTAGATATTGGAGATATAAAAATACTTTTTTCCTTTAGATGAAGAAGTAGTGATTTCAGCGTGGGGGGTTTGTACGTTAGTATATCACTATATTGTGTGTGAAACTCATTAAATACATTATGAAATAGAGTACTAACCTCATTGAAATGCGCTTGAGAATCTGTAGCACCGTACATAGGCAACTTATCGTAGAAACAAGTATAATAGTACTCTAGAAATGTTTTATAATTAGCAAGTTTGAAACGAGGATAAAAACGAAAGCAATAACATATATAGGGGGAATGTAAGCATAATATTTTAAAAACTTTCTTTCATGAAATCACAAAAATTATGCACATAAGGGACTTGGAAAAATTCTTGGAAAGCAATAGCGAGATTAACCGCTGCTATAAAAAAATACTAGTAAGTGTATAAACATGAGAAAAGGATTGAGTAGTGTTATGAATATAAACCAACACGTTGCAAAGTATCTTCATGGTGTCTATCTCAACCGGCTCTATAATATAGTTATAAGTTTTTTTCCAGAAAAGCATCAAAATGCTTATTAGATCTAAGAACCACAGAAGTTAATTTATACTACCTCCGGCCCGGTGGACTTTGTCAAGTGCAAAGTATGTGAGAAATAAGAATAGTTAAAACTGTGTGGTTGAGATTTGTGCAGAGGAGAGAGAAATGTGCAGAACCACAAATTAGTTGCTTTAATAGGAAAGTCGCAAAGTTTTTTGGAACAATCAAAAAAGGAAAGTTGACAAAGTTCAATGGGACGGAGGGAGTAATTAAATACTACTCGTGAGTAAATACTACGCAAAGATATTGTAAATACCTTCAAAATGAGTAATCAATGTCTATTCATGTAGTGCCTTCCTCTAATTCCAATGAATATGTAAGGGTGTGTTTGCTAACGCTTAATAAAAGCACTTTAAGCGTAAAAGCTAAATGTAGTGTTTGCAAAAGAAAAATTCAACTTAATTTAATCACTTTTAAGCCAAAAGTCAAAAGCAGGTCCGGGGATGCTTTTTTCTGCTTCTTGGTATTTCCGTAAATAAGTTCAACTTTTGGGATATTTTTATTTCAAAATATTTAAATTAATCCAAAACTACCCTTATCCAACAAGCATCGTACAGACTGTAACAGATCATCTTCCATATCCCAACAAGCATCGTACGCGACATGGCCAAGACCAACCTTCCATCATCCAAAAATTGCCGCAGGCGATGTGCTTCACCACCACCGTACCGGTCCACCCAGAGGCGTCTTCAGCATTTCGGAGGCTCTAGACAGAAAAAAACTTACGCCGCAAATAACATACGGAGTATTGAAAATAGATAAATTGAATAAAAATAGCATATAGAAAAAACGTTTTCAAAGTGTACGATATAATGCTTTTAATATTCAAAAGGATAAGTTTTAAAGACAATAGTACGAACATTTGCAATATACATCAGAAACCTATAACCAAATCTTTCCGCAGCTTATTCTTTCTTTTTGTAGACCCCGAGTCAAATTTCCGCTTTCCGGTCATACTAAAGACGCTCCTAATGACAATATTCATAGATAATACAAAGTAACAAAAATCACAAATAATTAACAATAAAACCTAAAACTTGTATTTTCTTAAATACAATGACAAAATAAAAACAAAATAACTACTTTACTACTACCAATATCATGAAATTAATCATTCTATGTATAGTGTGTTTATCAAATATCATCTTATTCATCTAATCTAAATACCTAATATTGTAATATATACTAATATCCAATAGGGGAAATAGGCAATACATATAAGGGATATAACTACTTATTAGGATCTGACCTTAAAAGATTAAAAAAATGCCTTTATTGCTTTTCTACTTGTGTGCCATGTAGTTATCTTAGCCTTTACTCCGTATTACTTTAGCTCTTGGTTGGTTGGTTGGCCCTTTTACGGCCACAAGTTTTACTCATTTATGCCATCATCTCTATGCCTTGGAGAATATAGTACATGTATTTCATTACTAGGACAGAAATTAGAAAATAAGAGAGCAAACTCACAAACTCACGGAGTCACCCTCGGATTTCTGGAAGTGCAAGCGGCAGCCACGCAGCAGACCCAGCAGCAACAGGCCAGCAGTGCACCACAGAGCAAGAATAAGCCGCTCACTCGTTCGGAACAGAGGATTTCTTCAAGTCCTCGGCAAATCGGCAGTTAGGTGTCAGGGCGGATACTTGAGATTTCAAAGTTGGAGTTGTATGCGTAAATTAGACTCCACGGTCCAGAATCCAGATAACTAATTTGTTATTTTCAACCGGTGGGCGTAGCTCAACTGGTAGCGATGGAATGTCACAAGGGTTAGGTCTCGGGTTCGAATCCCGGCAACTGCAATAATGGGTTATTATGCTGAAAAATGCATAGGGCCTCTGCAAGTACCGGGGATGGAGCCACACTCTATATCTGTCAGGTTGTGATTATAGTCCAACTTACATCCTCCCATCGTGTTGTCCGGTCGGTGTTGGGAGGCCCTCAGGGATGGGGTGTCATCCTTTTTTTCTTTCTAATTTGTTATTTCTATTATTATTATTATTATTATTATTATTATTATTATTATTATTATTATTATTATTATTATTATTATTATTATTATTATTATTATTATTATTATTATTATTATTATTATTATTATTATTATACATAATAAGGGATTAATAGGTAATACTAATAGGTATTTTTTATTTTTTTGAGGCCCCATTGGAATGTGAGGCCCAAGGCACTTGCCTGGCCAAACTCCCCCCAAAGCCGCCTCTGGGTCCACCACTCTTCTTCACCGCCACCATGGCTGGTCTGCTTCGTCCGCCAAATAGAAATTCTTCATCGCCACTCCCGCAGCAGATCTGCCTAGCTTGCTGCCGTCGGTCTATTTCGTTGCCGCCGGTCTGCTTTGCCGCCGCCGTTGTTACCTCTCTGTTGTGCCCAGATTCCTTTTACCCTTGTTCTATGTAGAATTCCCTTTTCATCCGTATGCTAATTATAATCAGCATACTCTTAAAAATTGAAGATCTTCCTTGCTGTCCATGAAAATTGAAGAGCTATACATGGTAAATGAAATTCCAGTGACTCGATGATACATCGTAGTAAATTGAAGTGGTGAAAATTGAGGAGCCATCTCCGAACTTGAAGCTTCATACGTAGTATACATATATTTACATATATTAAAAATTCGACCAGGGGACCGAGGGGCACACATAAACAGTCTGTATAATTTTTTGGAGGATATTTTGGTACTTTAATAAAATATAACATTAAAAATCACTATTTTATCAAACACTCCAACTTCTATATTTGAATTAAAAGCACTTCTATTTCCAAACATTATCAACTTTTACTACAAATCACTTTTTCAATAATTTCTTAAAAAAATCACTTTTAAAAAGCACAAATAATCACAAACACTCCCCAAATAACACTCCCTAAATATGTCCTACACGACAAGACACTATTAGCATGTATTCCAATTTGCTAATAACTACTGAAAATAACTAATACTCCGTACAACCTCCTATCAGTCTGAGATACAATTAAATACTCACTCAGCTTTTATAATTTTGTCAAAATTGAGTGACACATAGAATAATAAAATAAAAATTATTGAAGTTGAGATTTGTGCATATGAAAAAGAATTAAATCCAAAGAATAAATTATTTATCTCAAAAATATACTAGTAGTTGACAAAATTATATTTCATCTCTCTATAACTTTGTCAACTTTTCTTTTTTGTATGTCACATTAAATTTGTCATTTTCTCTTTTAAGTAAAAAAAATTATGGTTCTAGTTAATTCTCTCTCCTTTATACAAATCTCAATCATACGTTTTTTACTTTATTAATTTTCGTGTCGGTCAAATTTAGAAAGTTATTAGGAAGGGAGGGAGTAAGAGAAAGAGGGTATTCCCCGTACGACAAACTGGGGTTTAAATGTAATTTGAGTCGAAGACAAGTACAAATTGTACAATAGTCAATAATCATAATGATTACATGATTGTGACACACACAAACAAAATTATCCAATGAGTGCACAAAAAAACAAAACAATCCAAGAGGAACACGAAATAAACCAAGCGCAGGAAACCGAAACCGCCATTCCAAATCTTAGCAGTTAAGCTTTGAGATTCATATTTCACCCCTCCGTTCAATTTCAATACACTCTCATCAATACGGTATAGAGACAGGGGAGAGGAAAAGATCCCTGAAATGGACGGACCGCCGGAGAATGATTTTTGCTCAATATGCCATGGCACCTTCCGCATTCCTTGCCAAGCCAATTGCTCCCACTGGTTTTGCGGTACCCCTTATCTCTTTTTCTCCATGAATGTTTCCTGATGCGTATGTAAATTCCGGTTCTCTGTTTACCCAAAATGGGATCAGATTTTAGCAGTAAATTTTATACCGTCGCTCGAAGTTAATAGTAGAGGGCGGCCGGACACTTTGTATTGGTGGCGCAGGCGTTAAGTGCAGAAATAATATGTCGCTAGCCCGCTAGGGTTGCGAATGAAATCAGTCAGTCCATTATACACAAACTCTGCGATTAATTTTCTGAAGGTGGTGATAGTTGGACTATCTTGTCAAAAATCTCAAATATACGCCATATACCCCTATTTGTTTCTGTTTATTGGCTCAAATGGCTGAACTGTTTGAACAATGCGTTGTAAATCAAAGTCTGCTGCCAAAGTTTGAATCATCCCGATTGTGTTAGGTGTAATTTCATGGTGCGTAAAGGGAAAATTATGTCGCTGACTTTGCTAGCTCTGTTAGCCCATAGGTTGTTAATGTAGGTATCTTCCACCTTCTTTCTTGGAGGTTGCCAAGAGACACCTTAACATGGAGGCACCTTCTTGGAAGGAGGTCTCCAACAAATAAAGATGGGAGAAGATATGGAGATAACTATGGAAGCATGGATGCAACTTCCTCTTGTCTCCAAAGTAGCCTATAAATAGAGTGTTCTATTGTTGTTCATAGTATCAGTTTAGAAAGTGAGAAAAGTGTGTGAAGAGTGAAAATACACTTAGAGTAGAAGTGTATTGGTGAGGATTGGTTTTTTGTAATAGTTGAGTGTGAGAGTTTGCTCCTCCTATTGTAATTCTGTTCTTGATATTGAATAGAAGAATTTTCCAATCCCAACAAGTGGTATCAGAGCGAGGTTGAGTTTTCATACACTGTTTTCTCATTTTCAGATAAATTTCTACAGGTTAGAAAATCGTGATTTTTCAAGTTGCTCGGAATCACGATCTGATCATACCGTTAGATTCGTCTCGTCGAGACGAGAAATCTGGTATTTTTTGGGAATTTTTTGGCCACCGGAAGAGGCCGTACGCGCCGCCCAAACGCGCCGGAAAACTGCCTGCGTCATCATTGCGTCATCACGCAGTCCAGAGGAAGAAGACGAGCCACGTCAGCCGCCACGTCAGCCGCCACGTCAGTCCACGTAAGCGCCACGTCATCCGCCACGTCATCCGTGCAAGCCATCTCTAGGTGCCACGTCAGCGCCACGTCAGTGACACGTGGCGCCACGTCAGCGCCAGCGCAGAGCCAGCTGTTGCCACGTCATCCGCCTGCTGGTCTGCTCACTGGGCTGCTGCCTGAACCGGACCGAACCGGTTCGTACTTGTGGAGGCCGGTTCACCCATTTTCGGACCGGTTTTGGACAAGGTCAGACCGGTTCCTACCATTTTCGGCCATTCCGGATCCAACGGTGAGCTCCGTTTGTCCAAATTCGGCTCCGAAAATAAGGTACGAGATATTTTGAGCGTTTTATTATGGATAAATCATCATCGGACACCATGATTGCGCTCACTTCCACAAATTACAATATGTGGAAGCCTCGGATGGAGGATTTGCTAAATTTGAGGGATTTAGCTGATCCTCTTGATAATAATGGCGTGAAACCGGATAAAAAGACGGATGAAGAATGGACAAAAATGAATAGAAAAACTGTCGCACAAATTCGACAGTGGATTGATCATAGTGTGTTCCACCATGTTGCGCAAGAACAAAGTGCTTACACACTATGGGAGAAGCTTGGTAGCATGTATCAAGCAAAAACCGCCCGAAATAAGACATTACTAATGAGGAGATTAGTAAACCACAAATTACGAGGAGGTATTTCGGTGTCAGAACACACCAGTCAATTCCAGGATCTTGTGAATCAGTTGAGCACCACCGGATGGGTTCTCAAAGATGAAGAACAGGCGATACTACTCTTGAGCTCTCTACCTGACAGCTGGGAGACTCTTGTTGTCACTCTCAGCAATTCTGCTCCCAATGGCAAAGTGACTATGCAGATGGTCACAGATGCCCTTATGAATGAAGAAGCCCGAAGAAAAGAAGCCGGGACTGAACAATCATATGCCTTCGTGTCAGAAACCAGCAGACGAGGGGGAGGCAGAAATGGAGGAAGAACTCGAGGTCGAGGTAGAGGCCAAGGTCAAAACAGAGGAAATTCTCAAGTTCGCGGCAGATCACAAGAGAGAGGTATGTCCTTTGAAAACAGTACTTGGTTTGAAGGATATTGCAATTATTGTAGTAATTATGGGCACAGAAAAAGAGATTGTAGAAAGTTTCTACGAGAGCAGCCACAGACGAGTCAAAATACTAGCCAAGATGATGGTGAGACCATGGTTAGTTTGTCATCAGACGTGTGTCTTGTTACACATGGTGAACAAGAATGTTTACACGTAGGTACTCATGATGATGAGTGGGTGATTGATACAGCTGCATCATTTCACGCCACTCCACACCAGAATTTATTCACATCTTATAAGTCCGGGGACTTTGGAGCTGTGAAGATGGGAAACACCAGTTTCTCGAAGATTGTTGGCATTGGTGATGTGCACATAACAACCAATGTCGGATGCGCACTTGTGTTGAAAGATGTTCGACATGTTCCGGATCTTAGATTGAATCTTATCTCCGGTACAGCTCTGGATCAGCAAGGATATCTTAACCGATTCAAAGAAGGTACGTGGAAGTTATCTAAAGGTTCCTTGGTTGTTGCAAGAGGCCATATTTGTGGTACTCTTTATAAAACTCATGCAAAGTTGTGTCATCCAAGTCTTAATGCTGTTGAAGAAGAGATATCACCAACCTTGTGGCACCGAAGGCTAGGCCACTTGAGCGTGAAGGGATTGACAACTCTTGCAAAGAAGGAAGTCATTTCCATGGGCAAAGGTGTTGCCCTAGATCCATGCGAGCACTGTCTATTCGGGAAACAACATAAGGTTTCCTTCAGTTCTACCAGGAAGAACCATTCAGAGTTACTCAGTCTTATACACTCTGATGTATGCGGACCCATTGAAGAGGAGTCACTTGGAGGAAGCAGATATTTCGTGACATTCATTGATGATGCATCACGAAAGGTATGGGCTTATTGTTTGAAGAGTAAGGATCAAGTGTTTGATCGCTTCAAATTATTTCATGCCATGGTAGAAAGAGAAACAGGGAAGAAGCTGAAGTGCCTGCGTTCAGACAATGGAGGAGAGTACACTTCTCGGGAGTTCTCAGCATATTGCGCGGCATATGGAATCAGACATGAGAAGACGGTTCCACGAACTCCACAGCACAATGGTGTAGCCGAAAGAATGAATCGGACCATTATGGAGAAAGTTCGCTGCATGCTGAGTATGGCTAAACTACCTAAGCCATTCTGGGGTGAAGCTTTGCTGACAGCTTGTTATCTTATAAACAGGTCACCTTCTGTTCCTTTAAACTTTGAAGTGCCAGAGAAGAAATGGTCAAGAAGAGATGTTTCTTACTCTCACTTAAAAGTGTTCGGGTGCAAGGCATTTGCACATGTGTCCAAGGAGTTGAGACAGAAGCTGGATCTCAAGTCAAACCCATGCATCTTCATCGGGTATGGTGATGAAGAATTCGGATACCGGTTGTGGGATCCCGAAGTGAAGAAAGTTGTACGAAGCAGAGATGTTGTATTTCATGAAAACGAGTTTCATGGGTGTGTTCCAATAATCCGCCAACAACATACTCCAGAAGACGAAGTGCATGTATCATCAAACATTCCTCTCAGCGACGAGGAGATGCATGATACTACTGAACAAGAGAGTGATGGTTCAGTAGGTGATGATGATACTCACAGTGATGATATTCCTCAGCAGGGGGAGCCTTCATCTGAAGACGAAGCTGAAGGTATTCATGTTCGACGTTCTATGCGAGGCATAGTTCCACAGAGAAAGTATTCCACATCCGAATGGATACTTGTTAGCGAGGGGGAGCCTGCGAGCATTGCAGGAACGAGAGAAATAAAGAAAAAGGTGGAGGGGGAGATTTGTAGGTATCTTCCACCTTCTTTCTTGGAGGTTGCCAAGAGACACCTTAACATGGAGGCACCTTCTTGGAAGGAGGTCTCCAACAAATAAAGATGGGAGAAGATATGGAGATAACTATGGAAGCATGGATGCAACTTCCTCTTGTCTCCAAAGTAGCCTATAAATAGAGTGTTCTATTGTTGTTCATAGTATCAGTTTAGAAAGTGAGAAAAGTGTGTGAAGAGTGAAATACACTTAGAGTAGAAGTGTATTGGTGAGGATTGGTTTTTTGTAATAGTTGAGTGTGAGAGTTTGCTCCTCCTATTGTAATTCTGTTCTTGATATTGAATAGAAGAATTTTCCAATCCCAACAGTTAACTTTCGTGTTATGACAATATGACGTATGAGGGATAAAGGGTGGAAAAGAGAAGCAATAGAAGGCGGTGAACATAAATTTGGGGTCCTAATTATGAACCATTTGTAATTTTTTGCTTAATGAACAATTGGTTAAGAATTGAAGAAGTATATGAACAATTGGTTAATGAACAATTGGTTAAGAATTATGGTTCTTGCATAATGGAAAAGTGGCTATTTAATTTCCCTGTCTTTCAAGATTGTAGTGATTCTACCCCATCCTAATCTCCCCCATTTCCCCTTTTTTACCCGGTTGTAGGTAATTGTATTCTACAAGTTTGGGATCACGGGCCAGCCTTGCAGCCATGTAAATGTCCGTTGTGCCGTCGCCAGATTACTCTTTTGGTCCCTTCAGATGATTCATCTAGGCAGCGTCGAGCTCCTGATGTATCTGGTGTTTTTACTAAAATTGAACGATATAATGGTTTATTTGGCCCGCGGAGCAATGGACTTATGCAGGTACTTACTACTTTGTTTTTCTTTGTTCCAATTTCATGAAGTTTTTTATAAATTGGTCTTATGCTTGCTTGATTTCAACTATGCTAACTATACTGTGTGCTTGCAAGTTGCAAGCGACTGTATTAAATGAGTTGATTCTTGAATATGAGAGTATCATACTTTGGTTGGGTTGCCTCTCGAGGATCACACAATTTAACATCTCAACATTGATCTCACTTGTTTAGGAGTTAAATAATACCAATATTTTTTTAAGCCGGAATGATTGTTTGATTTTAGGAATACGGGCTAATTTCATAATTGTAGGATTGTTAACTATTTATTCTGGATGTCTGCGCATAGGTGTTGAATTTCAATTTTAAATAAATCCCACGAGTCCCCAGCATATCAATGCCAGAATATGACTGTCAACCTTAAAACCTATCCACTAAGGCTAGGTTGGGTTCTTATACTACTTTGAATTATACGGATTGAATTTAAGAAAAAGTAACAGCATAAAAGAATTTGAGTATCAGCCTCAACATTTACGCCTTGGCAATAAGGTTAGGAAATCTCTGACTGTATTAATATTGAGTCTATAGTGGGAATGGAATCTGCTGTTTTTTTAAAATAAGCACCAAAATTATACGTAGTACTTTTTACTGTTAAAACGACTTTCCGTGTTCTCTCCGACGCATCTTTTTGAAGTAAAAGTAGTTTCCTTCATCCAAAAAGTGCTTAATATCCTGAGAATATATTCCTCTCAAATGCACTCTATGATAATACTTCGTAGAAATGTACTTGTCATGTTGGTGTTTTTCCTCAAATGTTGATTGATCTGTAGTTTTTCATTGTATTTACTCCGTACTATTCAGAATATGTGTCCTGTTCTTTTCTTTTATTTGATGTGAAATTGTGAATATGATACTTATGTTTTCCTGAAGACCTCAACTGTCAATTTGTTATTGCTTTTAGTTATCTACCAAATCAAAAAAGTTGCAACGTAATATGGTAACATGCTCCTCTTTTTGAGACAGAAAATGCAAGATCTTCCGTTTCTCCTCAGGAGATTGTTACGAGATATTACAGACCCTCAACGGTCTCTTCCTTTTTTCATCAGGGCACGAGTATATCTGGCAGTTAAGTCATCAATACACATTGTATAACTCTTTTCTTTAGTCAATGTTTTGTCTCTCACAAGTATGGAGAGACTTGGGCCATGTGACTCTATTCTTCTTTCTCTGATATTTTAACGGGCCATTTAGAACCTGGAAAATGCTATGGAAAGTAATGGAGAAAATAGAGAGGAAAATTTCAAGGAAAGAAATTTTGGGGGAATAAGTAACAGACTAAAAAATTATTAAATTAATTTTTGGGGCCATTTTTCATTTATCATTTTTATCTTATATGAAGGATAAGAAATCTAAAAGAAGTTTAATGTACATTTCAAAAGATAGTGTTTTATTTTCCTTTTTTCGATGTAAAAACTAAATACAAGGAACTTGGTATTTTCTTAATTTTTTTTACAATGTCATACGCAAATGCCTAGAATCAGACATTAAGCTTGACATTGTGAAGAAAAAGTTATACTCCATATGAAACACAAAAACCATGGAAACGATTAGCGTGATTTTTTTCATGCTTTTGTGTCTCTCTGTTACCATATATTGCACATCATTGTAATGGAAATGCCCTTAGGCTTCTTTACCGTGAGTCTTTTCTGCCTCCCTTCTCCTTTTTTTTTTACTTGAGACATGAGAATAGTGGTCACAAAAAACCTTTACTGAAGATCTACAGCCTAAGGAGAAATTCAGAAAATGAGTTCCCAGTTTGAAACTGGAAAGGCAATGACTCAATTCCTGAAGTAGTTTTATGTTATTTTGTTTCTCTAGGTCAAATTTATTTCAGGAAAATTAAACTTGTGTTTTGAGAAAATGATTTTGAAGGAAGTCATGGCAAAAATTGATAATGCCTAATGTCATTATCGTTATTGTATTCTTCATTTTGCAGACATTTTTAAGTGTGCTCTATGTCCTCAGCCCTATAGACATTATTCCAGAAGGTACCAACTAATTAAGCTTTCTCTTTTTAACTGCTAAATGGGTTTATGTTGTTATTTTCATTCCAGTAACTGGATTTTCCTTCTTGTCAATCAGGAGTTTTGGGTATAATTGGATTCCTGGATGATGCAATTATAGTGTTCATTTGCTTCCTGCACGTGGCTGCACTCTACCGGGCATTACTGGTCTCACGCCATGGCGGTGGAGTTGCCTCATAGCAGCAGTAATAAGTTTCATCTTCTCTTCCAATTCAAATTACTTTCTTCTGGCTGTGACAGAACAAGCAGACAGACATAGTAGGGAAGCAAATGAAATTCAAAAGGGAGGTGAGGGAGGTGGTGCAGAAATACGTACGTACACTTCCCTTGATGGGGTTGTGCTCCAATTTTGGATTTCCATTAAAGTTCAACGTATAGATAAATGCCATTTGAGGTTATTAATGTTTACTTGGCTCATGCATATGTCATTATGGAACCACAGATGCTACTATCATCCTTATTTGATCTTGTGTTCAATATTAATGTGGTCAACTTAATTCATTTTCAGTTTTCAAAAAAAAAAAAACTTAATTCATTTTCAATCAATCTTTGAATTTTGTGTTTTAAACTTTTATCATACTTGCAATTGGTTTTTTGTGATCCAATAAAAATCTTATCGTATTATACAAATATACGAGTATAACGTTAATTATTAATGCTAATTTAATAAAATGCAGGTTTCAGTTCAATCGAACAACTGATTTTTACCCCAACCAATTTTGTTTATCGCATAACTCGACTATATCTCTTGTCTTGTATGATAAAGGTGAGTTATGATAAAAGAGAATTCCCTAAATATGAGTAAAAACGTTTTGAAATTCCAAAATAGGAGTATCATGTTTTTTATTCCCTAAATAAGAGTAAATTTCGGCCAAGTTTGGCTTTACAAGGCTTTAAACATGACATTTTTTCCAAACTTGGCAGATTACTCCTATTCAGGGAATAAAAAACATATACTCCTATTTTGAAATTTCAAAACGTTTTTACTCCTATTTAGGACAATTTTTGTAAATATAGAACTAATCTTTACACATGGATTTCTCAGTTTTTCTAATATAATGTGTACCTAATTAATTTAAGTTGCCTAATGTTTTTCTCAAACCTGTTTGATGATAAATACTACGTATATGATTGAGATTCCTCGTTTGCCTTCGTGGTTTAGGCCTTGTTTGGTTCAAAGGAGGGGAGGGAAAGGGATAATCAAGGAGGGAAGGAAAGGGAAGGGGAAAGAACTCAAAGAAGGCATTTTGATAAAAATTTGAATTTACCTTTATTTGATAGCTTACTTAAAAAATTAGATACATCTCTAACTATTATGAATATTACACCTAAGGTCACGAGTCATAATATTGATTTTTTTTTTAATTTTTTATAGATATTTTATTTTTTATTTTTTTATTTTTTAAGATTTCTTTATTTTGACATTTTTTATATTATAACATTTTGTTCATTCATGTAAGAGAAAAGTGATGGATAGTTTGTCGTTATCAACACGTTTCCTCCGAAATACCCCGATTTGGGGGTTGAGAATGAGATGAAGTGAAGGATTTTGGAAGTCTTCGACTTTCCTCCCCTTCCCCCTTATTCCCTTCAACCAAACACACACAAATCACTTACTTTCCTCCCCTTCAATTCCCTTCGAAATCCTCCAACCAAACTGAGCCTTAGGGAATTTAACTTCTTTTCTGGTTATAATTATTCTCTTCACTTGAAAGGAGGAAGTTCTTAATGGAGTGGTTCAATTATATATTCTTTATTTTGATCGTCTAACGAGAACCCCAATTTTTTTTTATATCAGTCTATATTTCTGTCATCTAACCATAAAAAGTACGAGTAATTGAGAAAAATTAGTTGTATGATAAATTAAAGGTGATTTAAAAGCTCGAAAAGGTCTAAGTAATTGTATAGATGCATTGATTTCTCAATTTTAATTGTGTACGTAAATAAGGATTAACATACTTTTACACTTATTTTTTCTAAAAGTTTTTTTTTGTCAAAACTTTTTGAGGAGAAGTACGGAGTATATGGTTAAGCTATTTTGTTTTCTGAAAATACTATTGAGATAGTATGTCTCTTGCTCAGATCAGAGTCACATGTATAGGAAGCGTGATGTGGACACACACATTCGAAATAATAGAAGTACATTCGTGCTCCAATGGGAATGTGAATTTAAGAGTTAGTTTCCTATTCATGCCCAAACTGCACGATTGAAAAAAAATAACTGCGCATTGTTTTGTAGTGCAACTCTTCTTCCAGCTTTCTCCAAAAACAGATATATACAGTGGAGTATATTATTTTATTTGTACCGCAAAACTCCTGAAACTCTTTTTCAAAAACCAAATATTACGTATATGATTTTATGTGTACCACGTTGCAGATCTGCTCAGTGAAGAATTTGTACTTTAGAGAAAGTATGGAATTAAAGTGGAAGAGGCCAAGTGGTTTATTTTAATTATTTATACGACATGATGCTATGATAATTTTTACATAGTGCATTATTGATTGCAGTCTTTAATTACTACTAGAAGTTTCAATCGAGGAGAATTAGAACATCACCAATCATAATCTCTAAAAATCAATATTTTCTAAGAAAAATTGACAAGAATAATCCCACCTTTCACTGATCTTCTCATAATAATTCCACCTTTAAATAATCCAAAAGTAATCTCACATTTGCACTTCATCTTCTTTCATTGGACTCTGACCAAGTATTTTACCTTTTTTAAAAATCTTATATAAATAATATCACATTTATAAGAATATAATTGAAAAGTGAAAGGTGAGATTATTTGTATAATTTTCAAAGAAAGAGTAAAAAACATGGTTAGGGTCCAATGAAAGAAGATGAGGTGCAAAGGTGAGATTATTTTGGGATTATTTAAAGGTGAGATTATTATGAGAAGACCAGTGAAAGGTGGGATTATTGATTATTCTTGTCAATTTTTCCTATTTTCTAGCATTCTTACCTTTTAAATATTGCTACATAATTAATTTTAAAATAATCTCAAAATCCGTTTATGCCTCCCAACCATCATCTTCAAATTATCCGCTTTTTTCTCTATCCCGAATTAATGTATTACATATACTTTTGAAATAATCTTAAGATAATCCGGATTCGGATTATTCTAGCAAATAATTTCATTAAAAAATCTATATCACTCAATAATACTTCTCTAAAAAAACTGTCATGTCACTAGTTTAATCTCTTAATAATCCTAGCAATGAGGATGCCCTTATACGGAGTATTTGCTGAGTCACAGACTTTCTGAAAATAGAGGGCGTACCGCACGGTGTCCATTTGTTACATTTCCAACTCAGCATCATCAGGAAAATAGACATTCCCATTGGAGAGTATTTTTATCTCAATGTCTATTTTGTATATGTGGCGATGCTTTTTTTAACCCATTCACATTGCCTAAAGATGCTCTTAGGATTAAAGATTCATCTACCAATTTAGGGTCAAGATTCAATGAATACTATCTAATGGTCTCATTGTTAGTGCCTGGTATTTATAGTTGCACGTATGGAGTGTTACCAAAAAGTTACCACCGACAAAAGTCAGTGCTTAATCATGTGTTCTTATTGACAGTTTTCTGCTACTACTACGGAGTATTTGATAAAAGAACAAAATCAAGGAACCTACATATCCTTTTATTCTAAAAAAGGAGCTGGTTGTTGCAAAGAAGAATGAGGAAGTTATAGTCATCAAGGAACCGGAAGTGGCGCCATTCAAACTTGTGATGCCAAGGAAGAGGACGGCTAGGGCAGCTCCATCTACAAAGGAACTGGCCAAGACTACAAAGCCGAAGGACAACGACGAGGCCAGCACCTCTTATCATGCTACTCAGCCGAGGCAACAATCTGCCAAAGCTCCCTCCCAGGCTACTAAACCGAAGGAACAAACTGCCAAGCATGTTTCTAATGCTCCAAAACCGAAGGAAAGTGCACCGGGCAAGAATGTTTCCATAGCACCCAAACCAAAGGAACCTACATATCCTTTTATTCTCAAAATGAACCATAAAACAAAGGAATTTGTGGATGGTATTCAAGTACCGGATAAGGATATTGGGGATAACAAGGTGAGGAGTGTATATGAAATGGATGATGAGGACGTGGTGATGAAGATGGAGTTTGATGAAAAGGGCAAGAGATCCATTTGTGTCATGAAGAGGGCTGATCTTCCACTTAGCCATTTTGAAGACCGAGTTGGGTCGGACTTCAAACGAGTGCATGGAAAAGAGAGCCCCGGAATGAGCTTCACACACCAATGCTTACTCACGCTTCCTGCAGTCAAGCGGGCAGTTTCATGGTATGATTTTGGTCCCTTAATTTTTATTCCTAACGTTGTTTCTTTCTTTGATGAAAACAACAAGGAAAACAAGAAATACTTCAAGGAGATGATGAGGAAAGCAAAAGAAAAGTAAAAGAATGTGGCGGGATCGGAGGATGGCCACACCTCCAACTCGGATAATGATTGATGATTAAAGTCGTCGTGTGGAGTGTGAGAGGTTTGAAAAAACCCTCCAAACATGATACGATTACTAGTTTTATTAAAGTGAATAATGCAAGTCTTTGTTGCTTTTTGGAAACTAAAATGAACAAAGATAGCTTTAATAATTATGTTGCAAATAAATGGCCGGGTTGGCTATTTGAAATGAATTTTGAAAAAATTTATGGAGGACGTATGACCATTATGTGGAATCCTTGTTTGATTAATTGTGTTGTGAGTATGGTTGAGGAGCAATATATGCATTTTATATGTGTATGCCGAACCACACAAACAACCTTTCAAGTTACATTTGTGTATGCATTATATACCGTTTTGGAGCGCAAAGCATTATGGGATCACCTTACTACCCTTGGGGACCAAATTAGAGAACCTTGGTTAGTTGCGGGGGATTTTAATTGCATATGTGCTCCAAATGAAAGGGTTGGGCCGAGCCCTCCCACGGCTTATATAATGCAACATTTATTTGATTTTAAAGTTCGAGCTAGCCTTGAAGATGCCCCATCTACCGGGGAATTTTTCATGTGGAATAGGGGTAATCTTTGGGCTAAGCTTGACCGGGTGATTATTAATGAGGTTTGGGGACAGCTAGGTATTAGTTGTAAGGCCCATTTCCAAGAAATGGAGGTTGAGTTTGATCATACGGCTTCCGTAATATCAATACTCAATAATTCCTCTTTTAGGCCGAAACCCTTTAAATTTTTTAATATGTGGATTAAACATTGCGATTTTGCTAACATAGTTGCACAGAATTGGAGTCAATTCATTGATGGTACAGCCCAGTTCTCAATTGTGAGGAAGTTAAAGTTGCTGAAAAGGCCGCTAAAGAACCTCAACGCAATGGAATACGGGCATATATCAATGAAGGCTAAGAAAGCAAAGGAGTTCAAAAGATTGAATAAATTGTGGCTGGATTCGCCTCTTGATGATGAGTTAAAAATGCAAGTGGCGGCTGCTAGAAAAAATGCTACATTTTTGGGGGAGGCCGAAACAA